GTTTTCAATCAGTGCCCTAAGGCTCTATTTCCCAGAGCTGAGACACTGGGTTGCATGGTCTGTCTCGCTCCCCAATTTTTCCTGGTTTATCTGCATGTTAATGTGGGACCACCAGGTCAGCCAGCCACCTTGTGTGCAGTGCCTCGCTTCACAATCGCCACCTCACTGGGTCTGCCCGTTGTCACCCCATGCCCAGGGTCCACCCACTGCAATCTTGAGTGCCCAGGATGCCTTATGCACCTGGTGCCACCACTTTTTGTGCCACAACCCCTCTCCACCCAGCTGCCAGACTCTGCCCTTCCTACTGGTCTGGATGAATGTGTTTATTTTAACTCCTTGGTTGTCTGACTTCCATACAGTTCAATTTTCTGTCAGTTCTGTTTATTCTTTTGTTTCTAAATTGTGGTCCTTTGGTTGTACAAGGAGGTGCAGTGTGTCTATCTACACCTCCATCTTGGCTGGAAGTTCTCACCAGTTTTCTGAGAGTCTGTGACTACAGCACTGTTCAAAACCGTTGAAATAGTATGGGTGGTTGCTTCACACGGTATGAAGAGCTTTGTCCCTAAGAGGTGGGCTATGGCTGTTAAAGATGATCATGGTGGGGCTGAGGTATGAAATACAAGGACCTGAAGTATAATCCACTGATCCCTTAGCAGTTAGAGACCTTCTACTTGTGGGACCCTCAGTCACTTTTTTCAGAGGTATGCGTGAGAGAAATGAGGTGAGAGCATTGTATTCATCTGCTTGTGTTGCCCTAACAACATAGACTGGGTGACTTAAATAAGAGAAATTTAGTTTCTCAGAGTCCATGATCCAGATACTGGCAAATTCTGTTTCTGGTGACAACTTTCTCCTTGGCTTGCAGACAGCTGCCCTCTCATTTTATCCTCAAATGGCCTTTCCTCTGTGGTGTACAAGGAGAGCAAAAAATAGAGAAACCTCCTCCTTTTCCTATAAGGAGAGAGGCCCTGTTGGATTGAAACCTCACCCTGATGACTTCACTTAACCTTTATTGGCTCCTAATGGGTCCTATCTCCAAATACAATCACATTTGGGATAGGACTTTAACAAATGAATTTGTGGTGGGGTGGGGAGTTGGTGGGGGTTGTGTACAATTCAGTGCAAACAGGTATTTTCTAGAGATGTACATCACAGTTCCTGTAGCAAATGACAGGAAACAGGTAATTTCTTCACAGAATAAGTACTAGGAGGACGATGACTAAAGAAAAACTTTGTGTCAGATTGGGGTGCAGAAGGCTTTGAAGAAATGTCCTTTTCATTCATTTGTTTATTTGAGAAAGGGATCTTGGGCATTTATTGTATGGCTAGCATTATGTTCGGCACTAGGGCATATGAAATGAACAGGATATGACAAATGCCATTGGTCACCTAAAACCAGGCACACACTCAACTCTGTGTAAGGTGTGGGTAGTCTGGAATTGTGAGCTGGTGAGTCATGGATCCTGTTATGTAAGCTGGGTCTGTGGCGCAGAGGTAATGTTTTGTTGTAGATTTCCTGTGGTTTTTATGTGCTGTGATTAGAGATAATTAGAGACTAACTCAGAATAGTTTTGTAGAAAGTCTGGCTTCCTGAAGGCCTGCTTTTTTCCCTTACTAGCCTTAGAACATAGCAACACACCTCAAAATATTAGAAATGGCAAAAAGAAAAAAACTATTAGGAGAAGAAAACAGTTTTCACTTAGGTAAGCCAGTGAGTACTGGCAGAATGGTAATTTAGCCAAGGCCCTTTCAGTGGCAGCTGATATTTAAGCATCACATAATCTAAAGTTCTAGGGCCCATTTAATTCCCTTACTTTACAGACAAGAGAATATGAGCCCAGAGAAGGTAAAAGGCTGTGAGTGATCCCACAGAACACTGATGACAGAACCAGGCATAGTATCTGTTTTGGTATCTGTTCCTCTTAGTGCTGCTCAGGGGTGTTGGTGTTTATTTTGCATTTATCACAATGTAGGTACAGAAATTGAAAGTAAATTTTCAGAAAATTTTACAGCAGTTTGACATTACCACAACATCCAAGCAATTGATCATATTTCCAGTAATTCACTTTCACGGACTTTACAAAGGTATTGCTCCAAACAAATTGGAAAAGAAAAATAAACTGGTGTTTTTACCATAATTAGGCTGCTATATAATGAGCCTCTCAAATAGTACCTGGCAGAACTGGTTTTGTTGATTTGGTCTATAAGGATGAGGCAGCCTGAGCACTGGGACCTGTCGTATGTACATATTTTAGGATAAAATAACTCCTCCAGTTAAAATTTGAGAAGACTACAGAGTCTATATTAGTCTACATAGACCTCTACATTACATCCATATCTCCTTTATTCAGAGAGACCCATGGTGTTCAGAGACATAGGGATTAGTACAATTACATTACCGTATAATTACTTATTTATGTTATCCCACATTTCACACATAATAGCCTTAGAATGACAATATGTTTGGTTTCAGGAAAAATTTTTAACTAGATGTTTTAGTATATTTTTTTGCTTTGATTTTCTTAATCAGGAACTTATAGTAACCATATATTTGATCTTCTGTGCCTTCTTTTCTTAAATACTTTCTGCCTATTTATTTCTTTTGAATTTAAAAACTTGTTTCATTTTCACCTTCCATTTTATTTATTTATTTTCAATTTTTGTTTATTTATTTTTAGAGAGGAAGGAAGGTAAGGAGAAAGAGAGGGAAACATTGCTATGAGGTTGCCTCTCATGCGCCCCCTACTGGGGACCTGGCCCAAGACCCAGGCATGTGCTTTGACTAGGAATCGACCAGTGACTGTTTGGTTTGCAGCCTGGCGCTCAGTCCACTGAGCCATACCAACCAGGGCTCACTTTCCATTTTATTAAGGCGCTCATTATCTGTTGTGTTAACCCACCTTTGTGTTCTTTCTTGTTTAGTCTTTGCATCTGAAATGAGTTTCTGTATTTTATTTCTAATTTTTTCCAATTGTCACTTCATTTTGTTTTTCTGATCTAAATTATGCTGTTCTTTCATGTCTCGTGTTATTTAATCTTTTACCTCTTCTTATATCTGCTCTGTGAACATGTCTTTCTGGCATGCTTTCATTGTTTGTAGGGAAGTTATTCTGTTCATTGTTCTCTTATTATAGCTTTGTATGGAATCTGACCTTAGCACCTTCCTGTTTCTTAAGTAGTGTTTCCTAATTTTTAGAAGGAGGAATGATTCAGGGTAGATTTTCTAACTTTAAAGAGTTCTATTTTCTGTTTTTTAATAGAGTTCAAAACTATTATGGTTTGTTTCTTGAACTTTGTTTCTCTCCTTTACCTTCATATAAAATGTTCGTCTCTCCATCTAGATCATCCCTGTCCTATACTACTACTCATGCAGGTCCCTGGCTCTGGGCATGGCCACAGTGGCTCATATTTGAAAGTTCATGGGGACTAGATTTCTCCAGCACTCTTACAGTAGTCTTCTGGGCACAACCTGCTAAGGAGTGGATGCAACCCTCCCAGTTTCTGCTGCTATTTTCCACTAGGCCCTCTGTGCACTCCAGTGAGCTAGCTCCCTTGGGTATTTGGGGGTTCTGCTATTCTAAGGTCTGTCAGATGCCCTGTTGCACCCCTCTGCTTCCTCCTGCACTGAGCTGATACTGTGCAGGCTTTTGGCTGTTGTAGTTTGTCCTCATCTCTAGTCTGTGGGGCAGTTTGTTACCAGGGTTTTTTTATTTGTTTGGATTTTTGTTCTTCTGTAAATATTTGGCTATATAGTTGCTCTGTTTTGATGTGGAGAGCTAGAAAGATTCAAAAATTGTGCTGCTGCTAACCCAGTCACCCCAAACAAACAATGACCTCTTGAATCATGTTAAGAACATAAAATTTTCTAAAATTCATTCTGTTTCTCTTAATAAATCTCTTTCAAAGAGAGGAGGTTCCTTTGACTCTTCAGAGTTGTTTTCTCTTTTTAAATAGTGTTCTGTGGGGTAAACAGAGTCAGTCAGGCTCCCTCACCCAGATGTCTGGGCAACTAAGATAAGCAGTGTCCCCCTAGCCTTGAGACTGGGCCTGATAAACAGCATTCCTATAGCCTTGAGTCGGCCTGCATGAAAAGAGTCTCGCTGTGTTATAGAGTATTTTGGCACCATGCCGTGCATTTAGTATATAGGGGAGTTGGGACTCCCTGCCTGCACAACGGCCAGTGTGACATGGCGCTTGCAGCAAGCGTGGAGCGCCCACCATGAATAAAGGCATGTCTGGCATTCCTACGGCTCCACGCATTTTCTTCTGTTGTCCTGAATCCCGAGTGAACCTGCCCAGCCTTGACAGGCTGCAATGCATGTTCAAAATAAGGTGACTTGTTTTTTCAACTCTGTGTCCCTCCTCCACCTTCCTATGAAAGCTTCCTTTCATGTATGCCATATGTTTACACAGACATCTTATCATTTTTATCCTCCCTCACTCCCTCCTTTTGTCCTTCCTCTCTTAAGCCAAAACAAAGATGAATAAATGCGTTATCTGTGCTTTCAGTTATTGACTTGTAGTCACGAGGAATTACAGCAGATGGTGTTCAGGCCCCAGCTGTATCTGTCACCTTCACACTTCAGTGCACACTGCCCTCCTTCCAGTTTCTGGCCCTTCCCTGCTTTGTTTACAAGCTTGCTTTAGCCACCAGTGCCTACTTGGTCTACCTGAGCAGCAGGCAGGAGGTGCTATTGCCCCTCTTGGAAGTAATGCTTAACTAATGACTGATGACTTATATGATAGACGGAAAATCAGCACACTGAAAGATGCCCACATCCTAATCCCCCAAATGTACGAACATGTTACCTGATGTGGCAAAAGTAATTCTGCAGATGTGACTAAGTTAATGATCTTGAAATGGAAGAGTGTCCTGGATTATACAGGTGGGTCCAATCTATCACATGAGTCCTTATGAATGGAAGAAGGAAGTCACAGTCAGAGAGAAATTTGAATGTGCTGTGCTGCTGGATTTGGAGATACAGGAAGGGGACACCAGCCAAGCCATACAGGTGGCTCCCAGCAACTGAGAAAGGAAGAAAATGAATTCTCCCCTAGAGTGTCCAGATGCAGCCATGCTACCTCCTTGATCACCTTGATTTTAGCTTCGTCTGACACAGTTTGCATTTTTGACCTCCAGAACGGTAAGATAACTATTATTTTAAGGCACCATTTTTTTTGAAATTTGTTATACGAGCAATAGAAAACTAATAAAATGGCTAAGTGCCCCAGCCCCCTCAGTTCTTCAGTGGAATGCCTCTCGGAGTTCCCAGAAGTGGTGGTTAAGTGTCTTAAACACAGTGGTAACTTGCTAGAAAACAAACCATGTATTAGCTTCCTTCCCTTTCCTTTCTAACTTTTTTATTCCCCTACTGTGTTGGGAACACTTGCAAATAAATTGCTTGCACTTAAGTCTTTGAATCAGGATTTGCTTCAAGGGGAAGCCAATCTAAAACAGAACTTGAGATGGCTTTGGAAAGAGATTGATGTAAGTGCTTGTTCTAATTCTTCAAGTTTGTATTGGAGGAGAAGAGAGAATTATAATTTTTATAATTTTTTTTTCAGTTCAAAGATGCAGTGGTACAGGGGCCTTGAGAAGCAAGTGGAAACCTGAAACTCAGATTGGTCGCAAAACGTTCTCCCTATCTTGGTTACAGAGCCCTTTGGGGGAAAGAAGGGTATGTTTATTGTGTGATTCTTCAATACTTAGAATAAGACCGCAATTCATAGGGCCTCCATGGCCACCAGGGACTATGAATTTTAGGATGAAATTTGAGCAGATACTGCAGATTAGCAGACTTTATACCAGGTTTCTTGATGTTGGCACCATTGACATTTGAGGCCGAATATTTTTGTTGTTGTTGTGAGATCTGTTCTGTACATTGTAGGATATTTAGTAGCATCCCAGGACACTACCCACTAGATACTGTTATCACCCCCACCCCAGTTGTGACAACCAAAAATGTCCCCAGACATTGTCAAATATCTCTAAGGGACAAACACCCTTCAATAAGAGCCACTCCTCTATAGAGCTCCAACTCCTTTTTTATCCTGTCTTCTGGTGCATTGGAGGCAGGCAAGCTAAAGACCACGTTCTCCAGACTCCCTTACACTTAAGATTCTGCGTTTGAGGTGTGGAACACGGAAGTAAATAAACGTCATGCGGCACCCGCCGAATACCTACTCCGACAAGCGCTGCCATGGAGGTGTTTGCTGTGTTTTGGTTCTGCAACGGTCCTGGTGGAAGTGTATTCTCTGCCTTCATCGGTACTGAGTGCAGCAGCAGCAATTTGATTTTGTTATAAAAACCCTACTGAATAACAAGATAGTTCTCTTTGCTGTGTTTTCCCTCAGTATGTAGCACCTAAATTGGTTTCCTGGTATATTGGGAAATTTGAAATTAATTCTTTTCTGATCAAACTAGCTATAGACAATTCTGTTGTCTGAAATAGAGTCATTTTTACCAGGACTGTGTACAGAGAGCATCACAATCTAAATTATGGCTTTGTCTTCATGAAAAAGACAGGAAAAAAGATACTAAGGATTTAGATTTTGTAGACTGGAAAGGTCATAAATCCAGTTGTATAAAGTCAGACTATCCTTGTACGGTAGAACCCCATGCTGGCTAAGTCTGTAACATTAACCAAAATGCTAGGAATAATTCCTAATATTAGTGTGAGTGTGTGTGTGCTGATTCTTACTGCTTTCAGTAAAGTCCTGCAAGAGATAGATCAACTCAAACTAGAGGCAGAAGAAAACAGCACTTGGCTGAGAGTGGCCAGGGGCCTGTGATCTGCAATCTGAGTAGATGGAGCCCACAGTAATTTGGAACCTCGAAGAGTATTTTAAAAGTCAACTTTGGTATTTACTCAAATGAGTTAAAAACTTATGTCCTCACAAAAGCCTGCACATAGGTGTTTAATAGCAGCTTTATTCGCAATTGCCAAAACCTGGCAAGTAGCCAAGATGTCCTTAAGTAGGTGAGTGGATAAATAAATCTTAAATGCATATCCTACTAAGTGAAAAAAGCTGATCTGAAAAGGCAATATATTGTATGGCTCCAGCTACATGACATTTTGGCCACAGTGCTTGCCAGGGGTCCTAGGAGAGCGAGGGAAGGGTGGGAAAGCAGAGTACAGCGATGTTTAGGGCAGTAAAACTGCTCTGTATGATACTGTAATGGTGAATAAATGTCATCATACCTTTTTCAAAACCCAGAGAAGGTACAGACACTAATAATGAAGCCCAGTGCAGACTATGGACTTTGTGTGATGATGATGTGTCAGTGCTGGTTCATCTATTTTAACAAAAGTACTGCTCCAGCGCAGGATTTTGATGATGGGAGGGGCTTGTGTAGGGAAAGGGAATACCTGGGAACTGTGTATTTCCTGCTCAATTTTGTTGTGAAGCCTAAAACTACTCTAAAAAATAAAGTCTATTTTAAAAACCCGGCTGCTTCTTATCTCAATAGTGATGACTGTAAAACTGTCACCTTAGAAGAAGTTTTTAAAAAATTTATATTGAATTTATGGGAGTGAAATTGGTTAATAAAATTATATAGGTTTTAGGTATACAATTCTATAATATATCATCTGTATATTGTACTGTGTATTCACCACTCAAAATCAAGCCTCCTTTGGTCTCCATTTATCCCTCCTTTACCCTTTTCTACTTATCTTCATCTCCCCATTCCTTCTGGTAATCACCATGAATATAGGCACCCCTATGTTCATAGCAGTGTTATTTACAATAGCCAAGATTTGGTAGCAGCCTAAGTGCCCATTAGTAAGGGAGTGGATAAAAAAGCTGTGATACATTTTTACACAATGGAACACTACTCAGCAGTAATAAAGAAGGAAATCTTACTTTTTGCAATAGAATTGATGAAACTGGAGGGTATTATGCTAAGCAAAATAAGCCAGTCAAAGAGAGACAAATACCATATGATTTCACTTATATATGGAATCTAATGAACAAAATAAACAAACAAAATAGAAACACTCATAGATACAGAGAACAGACTGATAGCTGTTGGGAGGGGGATTGGGGTGAAAAATGTGAAGGGATTAAACAAAAAACAAACAAACACAACAACAACAAAAAAACTCCTGATAGACACAGACAACAGTGTGGTGATGACCAGAAGGAGATGTTTCTGATCTCAAGATTTATTTCAAAAGAGTTCCTTAAGAGTTCTTTGCCTGATGATCAGAGCTAGCTCATTGATAAAGATCAAATTAAGAATTATCTTCCTATCCAATCCTCTTTCAACTAGTCTCAGGATAGCTGGAGGATAGGCAGAGCATAGTGGCCAGTGAGAAAGTCTTCTGGCTTAAAAATCCACAACTATACAAGTTCCTTAACTATGGTTATTTGTGTATGAAACTTACTAAAAATAATAGAAATACATCTTACTAGATTGTTGAGGGAACCTCAGGACTAGGTTAAAATAACCTGTGACTATTAAACACCAAATGCTGAACCTGGTCTCCAACTTGCACAAGCAGAAAGTAGAATAACAAAGCTGTATATCCCCAAAGTCATCCTCTCTGATTCCCTCGTCAGCTCTGGCCATAAAGAAAAAATGACCAGTGTAGTGGAGGCTATCATGCACCACCCAGTTTCCCTTAAGGACTGAAGAACTTATTTCTGCAGCTTCTGGGAGTGTTACTGTCTGTCAGTATTGCCTAGGAATTTGCTAAAGGAAAGTACTTCACCTTTCTTTGAGAGAGCCTGCATTTGGTGACTGGTCAATGTGAGCACGTAAAGTTCCAGGCTTCTTAATCAAACCAGAAACCACTGTATGAGGCCAAATAGTTTTAGACCTTCCTGTGGTAGGTTGAAGCTTTGGCTGAGATTTCATCACAGTCTAATGACTCCCTCTGTTTTATCCTGCTCTCTTCTCTGCTCCTACACTTGATGTCTATCTGGATCACTCTAATAAATTCCATGCATGTTATTTTCTATCTCAGTGTCTGCTTCCCAGGGAACTTAACCTTCATAAATGAGGGAAAAAGTACAGAGGACAAAGGCTAGGGCAGTTGGATGCACTAAGGAACTTGTCCACTGTTGTAGTAGACTCTTGCTGTTGATCAGTCGTCCCCTACGTTTTCGTTATACACGCTTCTGAATAGAAGTGTGTGTGTGTGTGTGTGTGTGTGTGTGTGTGTGTGTGTCTTTTTCCTGAAAACTGCAATCATACCAACATCTTTGCTCTTGGCTTAAGGTGAGTCTTGTGTAATAGGGAACATTGATGATCCACAACCTAGAAAGAATATGCATAAATTTATGTTATCTTGGTCAATATAGACAAAAAATTATCCAGTTAGAATTGAGTACTGTTATATAATAATTTGAACTATGAATATATATTATTTCCTCATTTGGGGGGCAAGTATTTCTAAAAGTGGGACTTATTTAAGTTCTGCTTTGATATAGCAAGTGACACTTTATTCAATAATCAAAACTTGCTTATGAAATTTTTAAAAGCACTATCACGGAAATTTCAGGAGCATGTAACTTGCTTTTTAGTTTATAGGCCATGGAACCATGAGAAGATACATACAAATCTGATGGAAAAGATATGTGTGTCCTTCAGATATTTTGACTTTGGATAAGCTAGCAAGGTGAGATATTGCCATTATCCCTTTTGGAGAGCAGAGCATGTTCCTCATGAATATTTAGGTGGCCAAAGTGTTGGATGTGCTAGAGATGGCTTTGGCCCTTCTCTCTTAACAATAGAACCTAGAAATTTAGATGGGCATTTTTCTGCCTGGATAGAAGATTTTATTTCCAAGCCTTCCTTGTAGGAAGGTATGGTCATATGATTAAGTCATGGTCAATATGCTGTAAGTGCATGTTTGGTACTGGATTTCCATAGTCTCCCTAAAGGGTCTCACTCATGCCCCAGGCCTATCCCTTTTGCCCTCTGCCTCTCTGAGAGCCTGCAACTCGGGTATTGTGACTGGGGCTGAGGTCATCCACCTTACACTTCAGATCCGGAGGAGGGATGTCAGTTAAGATAGTGAAGCAAAAACACAGAAGGAGACAAGGTTGCTTGTGAATGAGGAGTCACAATATTCTCCCTGTCCTGTGTACTTCTAAAGCTCTTTTGAATGTGAAGGAAACAATGCTAAATTTTATT